CCTGCCGGGCCTGGGGTCAGGCCCACGGAGGTAGACAGAAGCCTGGGTGCTGAGGTGTTGCTGTCCACTGCGGGTGCTGTGGGCTGCCCAGCACCGAGAGGCATGCCTAGGAGGGAAAAGACCTTGGTACCACCTCCAAGGCTGCCTCCTACCCAGGAGGCCCAGGGCTTCCACGTCCCTGACCTGCAGCAAGAAGTGGGTGGGAATAGGAGGGTAGAGAGAGCGGGAAATGGAGGGAGATTGGAGGTGAGGGAGAAGGGGGAGGCACTCCTAAGCAGGTAAGATTGGCTTGGGCTAGGAGCGAGGGAGTAGGCTTCACCCCCTCAAACACCGACAATATCCAGTGTCCCTTAGGGAGACCAAGTCACCTCTAGTTACCTTGGACCAAGGTTTCACATAGGAATATAAGATGGGGAAAGAGGGAAATCCGTCACAGGAAGGGAAGCATGAGCAGGGACCACTTCTTTCCCGCCCACTTCAGGTGACCACACAACCCACTGCCTCATCCTTCCCCACTGATGTCCCTCATAGGCCCTCACCATCACACACGGCCCCGGCATCCTCCCGATGGTGACAGTCATGTTGGCCCCAGGGCCTCGCAGGGCAGAATCGCAAGGCTGTCTCGTTCCCCCGACATCTGAGATCATCCAGGACGATGGGTCCAGCCCCCTCCCCAAAGAAGGCGCCCCCTGGGGCGGCCAGCGCGCCCCCACAGCCCAGCTCCCTGCAGGCCACAGCAGCATCCCGAAGGTCCCAAGCGTCGTCACACACGGATCCCCAGCGCCCACCGTGCCAAACCTCCAGGCGGCCAGCGCAGCCGTGGGGACCATCAGCGAGGCGCAGCCTGGGTGCAGGACCTGGGTGTAGGAGGTCAGGGGACAGGGTGACAAGAAGTTAGGGCGGATGAGGAGCTGCCGAGTTATATAGACCAAGAAGAGAAACTAGACCGGGTTTGCAAGGACTGGGTTAACACTGTGAGAGTCTGGGATGGGTGAGCAGGTACCGAGTTAGACCAGTGAGGAATCAGGATGTTCCCTGTGCCAACAGAGAACAAGAATGTGGGGGGGGGGGCGGGAGAGGAAAGGGAGCGGGCAGCAGAAGGAGGACAGTGAATGGAGGAGGGAGCCCCCAAGTGCCCTTCCATGGCCCCCAGCTGAGGCTTGGCAGGCTAAGCCCAAGCTTCGATCCTGCCTCTCCCATTTCTCCAGAGAATGTGTAGAGAGATAGACTTGCGGCCTTTTACCCCTTCCTAGGGGAGGGAGGAGCTAGGATCTGAGAACCGAAGAGAGGAGGGGGTAGTCAGCTCCCCGCCCCCGCCCCCGCATACCAGTGCAGACCAGCCCGGCATCCTCAGTATGGTCACAGTTACTCCGGCCCCAGGGGCTTCTGGGGCAGTCCCGGAGAGCCTGCTCTCCTCCTCCACACCCTACGTCATCCATCCACACGGGTCCTGAACCAGGTCCGAACCTGGCACCGCCAGGGGCGGCCAGCGCCCCCCCACAGCCCAGCTCCCGACAAGCCACAGCTGCATCTCGGAGGTCCCATCCATCATCACACACAGTGCCCCAGCGTCCACCGTGCCAGACTTCCAGGCGGCCGGCGCATCCGTGGGGACCTGAGACCAGGCGCAGCCGCTCTGGGGGACAGAGAAGGGAGACGTAAGAGGCTATGCCTAACGTCAACGTCTGGGGAGAGTGGAGGCCCGGAAAGGGCCGGGGACTGAGGTTTGTCTGCCGACTGGCTCATTCAGAAAAGAGAACTGTCACTGGCCGGACCCCTGGGTCTCACAGATCAGTTAGAGGAGGGTGGCCAGCCCCGACTGAGGCAGAACGGAGGTCTGGGATCCTCACTTTGGCTGGGCCTAGGGTCTCGCGGCACCCAGATCAAGGAGACAAGGAAGATTTGGAGGAGACTCACCTTGTCGGGGAGCTCCATTTGTCAGTACAGGGGCCCGGGTGGACTTGGCCGGCTTGGGTGGCCTGGGATTCTTCTTGCGAGGGCCATTCTGGGAGCTTGTTGCTGGTTGGGGAGCTGGGAAAGTGGCACGTGACCAGGAAGTCAGGCTCTGAGCTGTTCACCCTTCCTGACTCCTAGGCATCTGTCTAGGGATCCCTTGCTGAGAGTCTGAAGGGCTGGAGGATTCCCGGTAATGAAGGACACTCGCTGGCAGGAAAACATCTGTAGCAAGATGACCTCCCCCCATAGCTGAGACAGACTGGGGTGCAGGGTGGGAAGCCTAGTCTTTTGTGCTCACCATGAGTCACAGGGGGCTCCTCTGAGCTAGGGCTCAGCTCCCCGGACAGTGGCAGCCACGGATCCCCATCCAGTAGGGATGTCGAATCTTCTCTAGAGTTAGCTGCACGCTGACCTGCGCGGGAGAGGACCAGAGTTATGAGAACAGTGGTGGCATCAGAATAGAGAGGCTAGCAGGGAGGTGGTGGCGGAGGCGGCCCACGCCTTTAATCCCAGCACTCAGAAGGCAGAGCCAGGCGGGTCTCTGTGAGTTCAAGGCTAGCCTGAGCTACAGAGCGAGATCAGGACCGGCACCAAAACTAATCAGAGAAACCTTGTCTCGGGGGAAAAAAAAAAAAAAAACGAAGAAGAGAAGGAGGAGGAGGAGGAGGAGGAGGAGGAGGAGGAGGAGGAGAAGGAGAGAGGTCACTTGTCACTTGATCCCTGGGACAGAACAACCTGGATGCTTGAATTCTCTGGGACTCAGAAATAAGTGATTGTAAGCTGGGGGTTCTAGGAGGTGGGGAGGAACCTGGTCTTATGGGGATAGGGAATTAGGCATTTCTCTGCTTCTAGACGGCTCAAATCTACAAGAACCATGGACTTGGGGTTTCTGGGGCCATCACCGAAGGAGGAATTTGAGTCTCTTTACCTACACAGACGACGCCTGCGTCCTCCTCATGAGAGCAGATATGGGCCTTCCAGCCCCGGTGGGGACAGGTACCCAGCTGTCCCTCACTGCCCCGGCAGGCCAGCTCACTGAGCCACACGGGCCCGGTGCCCTCCCCGAAGAAGGCACCCCCGGGGGCAGCCAGCGCCCCTCCGCAGCCCAGCACGCGGCAGGCCACTGCAGCATCCCGGAGGTCCCATCCGTCGTCACACACGGTGCCCCAGCGCCCGCTGTACCAGACTTCCAGGCGTCCCGCACAGCTGTGGGGACCATCGGCCAGGCGCAGGCGCTCTGAAGGGCGAAGGAAACACCGTGACCCCAGACAGAAGCCCTGTGGCCTGGGGGCCAGGGAGCTGCCTTGCAAGGTGCCATCTACCCTGGAGGCAGGACCCTGGACCCAGACTCCTGGGTACAATGAGAGGAGCGTCTCGGAGATATTGGGGGCTGTGTGGAAGGTCGGAGTGGAATCAGGGGAGCAGGGGCCAGCGGGAGAGTGGCGGGAGGCTTGGAGCTGGGTGAGGCCAAGTGGAGAGTCGGGACACTTACCAACAGCCTGGGTCCCCAGCAGTAATGCTGCAGAGGGGGTCGGAGGGAACAGAGTGGAGGTGAATTAGGGGGAGGGGTCCTCTCCCCAGCGCACGCTCCCGGCTTAAGTTTCGGTGAGAAACATCCACTCACATACTGATTCCTCACACCTCTGAGTCAGAAACCCCACTGCTGGAATGGACTTTGGGTGGAGGCTGGGATAAGTTGCAGGTCCCTGGGGCGGGTGGGGCCCAGATGCCTGACCCCTGAAGACAGGGCTGGGGACCAGATTGAATGGTGGGAGTGATACCCCGCAGTGTGAATGCAGGGTAACAAAGGGTAGGTCACTTGGGTTGCTAGGCAGGACGCGCAAAAGGCTGGGTCCCTGAGGGATTAGAGGGGCCGGCCAGATGTCAGGATAGTCCAGAGCTCCAGAACCAGAAGAGGCTCCCTGAAGCCTGCGTCCCTAAAGTGGACAAGCTAAAGGGTCAGAGGTGAAAGTCCAGGTCCCTAAGGTACCCCCTCCCCAAAGGGAATGGGTCACTCACCAAGGAGGCAGGCCAAGCCCCTCATGTTGGCAGAGTCCAGGGCAGGGGTTGGGGGTGAAGGGGGAAGGAGGGGAGGAGAGAGAAGGAGGAGGCAGCCCGAGAGAATGGGAGGGAGGGAGGGAGGTGACCGCCCGGCCCGCCGCCGGAGGCGCCCTGGACAGCTCGGAGCAGGCTGGGCTGAAGGCTTTGCCAGGAGGGAGAGCTGCTGCTGCAGGGAGGCAGCAGGGGACAGGAGGGGGAGGGGGCTGGCCGCAGCTGAGGCTGCAGGGGGGGCGGGGGGGGCGGGGGGCAGGCAGGAGGGAGGTGTTCAAGTGCAAACACCCACACTGGAGGAAGGCGGCCAGCCAGGCTCCAGAGGGCCACGTGCTCGGAGATGCTTATGGGGATGGCAGCCCTGAGAAGGGACAGGCCTGGGTGTCTGGGGGACTGGGCACACCCTCCTGCCTCCTCTTGTTCTCCAAGCCAAGGGAGTGCAGCTGGGAGTGGACAGATTTGGGGGGGAATCCTGCAGTAGCAAGAAGGCCCGCAGCCAGACACCAGGAGGGACTTACTACTATATTAAGAAAAGAAACTGAAACAAAAAAAAGAACAAACAAACAAAAAACAAAAACCCTATCTCCATTGGACACCCACTCTGTTAAATCTGGATGGGAAGTTTCTAGTCCCCATCTGAGGAAGGAGTGTCTGAACTTACCAGTGCCCAGAACAAAGGTATGGAGGGCAGAGACCAAGGGATCAAGGCTTCTGTATGGAGGGGTTACACACACACACACACACACACACACACACACACACACACACACACACACACCAGGCAGCTGTGGGGGGAAAACTGTGGTAATGGGGAGCATGACTCAGAAGGCCTGGCAGGGACGGGGCCGCTGCTGTGAGCTCACTGCTTCTTCTCCCAGCGAAGTGCACCTCCCCTTCCCTAGCAATTAATGTCAACTTTGGAGAGGAGGAGCCAGACGGAAGGAGGGGGTCTGGGGGAGCAGCTGGGAAAGGCATCAGAAAGGAGACAGGCGCACAGAAGTCTCGGGCTTTATTAACAAACTGTAAAAAACAGATGGGCTTGGAGACTCTGCTCCCAGCCCCACCCACTCCCCAAAGATCTGCCCACTTTGGGGGTACACTGTCGCAGACTCTAACTCTGCCTCTCACTCTCCCCAAATATCCCTTCCAGACCTAAAACACACACAGTGGGGGCTTTGTAGATCCAGAACCAGAGAGGGTTTTTTTGTTTGTTTTCTTTTATTTTTTGTTTTCTTTTGGTTTTTTTTTTTTTTTTTGTTGGCGGGGGGGTTGTTGTTGTTGTTGTTCTCAGAGCATACAGACTAGGGGGCAAGGAGTGGACAGGGTGACCTCTAGTGGTCCCAGAGTCCCCACTGCACCTGGCAGGTCCACCGCGGGCCTGAGTCCATCAACCTCAGCGCCTGCCTCACCGTCAGCCCAGCAGACTGGGTAGACACTGAGGGAGGGCACGCAAAGCGCCTGGCACACAGTGGGTGCTCTTTAGGTGCTGGTTCTGCATCCATCTCCCCAGTGGGCACGGTCTACCATCACAGATCTTTGCTGAATTCTCTCACCAGCATATAGCCCATGCAGCCCCAGCCTCCCTCTGCCTGGTAGCCACAGGCCTCCAGTAACCCTGCCACGCCCCAAGCGGCCACGGCCACTGGGACCACGAGCCGGGCCCGAGGTTCCCCCATACTCCCAGCCCAGGCTCGAGCTCGGGATTCAGCAAAGGCCAGCAGCCTCCTGCCCACGCCCCTGCGACGATGCCATCGAGAGACGGAGAGGCGGGTGACTCGGGCTCCGTCCCCCACGTTGGCACCAGGGGCCAGAGCCAGGACTCCACACACATCGCCTGAGCCCCGGACAGCCACCCAGGGGCCCCCCAGGCCGCCGGGCGGAGGCAGAGAACCCCACCGGGCTCGCAGGCCCAGCTTCACAGCAGCCACAGCCAGAAACACGGGCAGCAGGAGGGCCAGGGCGAAGGAGGCCAGGACGAAGCGCAAGCCGCTGCTGGCTGCGGCCAGGAGGAGAAGGGCTGGCGGGCGAGTCAGAGCGTGGAGGGCCACACGGTTTTCTGTGTCTTTTACACCAGCCTGTGGGTGGGAGCAGGGACCCAGCCATTCATCACATTGGAACTCCCGAGGAAGGGTTCCCACGTGGGAAGAGAAGCCAGCTGTTGGGGTAGTTCCAGTCTGACCCACTGGGTGTGAAGGGCTGAGTGAATGAATGAGGTCTAGATGGATGGATGGATGGATGGATGGATGGATGGATGGATGAATGTAGAGCCCGGGGGCCAGTGAGTCTGGAGGGCATGCAAGGGTAAAACACCAGATAGGGAAATTGAGGCCGTGAGCTCTTCGCAGGAGGGTCTGGAGGATGAGAGCACCTCTCGTTTGGGGGCTGGTAAGTGGGGCCGACTGGCGGTCAGGAGCCCTGAACATCCATCCCCCACACCCTTCCAGCGGCTTAAAAAAAATAATAATAACAGATGAGGGGTAAGTAGGGAGAAGGAACTAGAGAGGAGGGACCAATTAAAAACAGCCGAGGCCGAAAATATTCCCCCTTTGGAGGTCCCCGGGAGCGCAGGCAGGTGGGCGGGGCAGGTGGAACCCACTTTGATTGTCCCTAAGCAGCTGCGCATGCTCACTGGTGCCCCTGCCGGCCTCTCACCTTCAGCATCTCCAGCACCAGGGGCTTCTCATCTTCCCTCATCTCCCGCACTGACAGGTGGTTGGGGGCCATGGTAGCCCCCAGGCCGCCGCCCCCCAAGAAGGGAGCTGGCGTCGTGCACCTGCTGAAAACAATTAGGTGTGTGTTAGGTGGGCACCCGAGTCCTCAGAGCTCTGGGAGAAATGGGCTGCAACATTTCCCAGATCACCAAAGGACGCTGGAGCACCGCCAAGGAGGGTTGCCACAGTGTCAGGTCAGGAGCCCCCACACCCAGCGGGGCTCAAAGCCTCCCCGAGTCGTCCCCCACTCCGGGGAAGGCATTCAGCGATCTGTCTGTAAACTCGCTCCCTCCCCACACTGCAGGAGCCCTGCAGTGGGTCTCCATCCTGCATAGCAGGAACAAGGGCCCTGCAAGCACCTCCACAGGGTTGCTCAAATCCCTTGACAGCAAGGGGGAGCAGGGTCAGGAAGGGGTCACCAGCGGAAGTGACGTCCACACTCCCGACTGGAGGCGGACCCGGCGCCTTAGCAAATGTTGCCGAGCTTCTCCCACCAGCGGGCAAGGGTTGGCAGTCACGAGGGAACTGCGAGGGCGAGGGAAGAGCTGTGACCTGCTGGAGGCCGGTGGGAGATCCATGGGGAAAGAGGAGGGGGTGGGGGGCAGAGAGGGCTTCTTACCCGGCCTGCCTGTGGAGGGTTAGCACAGCGCCTTTCTTGCCGGTCCTTCGTTGCTAAGCGACCTGAGCATCAGGAGGAGGCGGCTTTGCTAGCAAACCTAGTCTCATTGGTGGCTGGGTCTTTGAGGGAAGGAGCGGGGGCAGTACTGAGCATCCCCATCCGCAGGGACCTGTGTCTCAACCCGGTGGCACCTGGGGTATCGTTTGGATCAATAATATCCTTCTACCTTTCAGGCGAGGCAAACTTACGGGGAAGAAGCATCTGGAATTTGATCCCTAATCCTCCCTGGTATAATGACTATAGTGACACGCGCGGGTGTGTACACACACACACACACACACACACACACACACACCTTTAAAAGATGGCAAAGGGCCAGAGAAATAGCTCAGAGAGTAAAAGAGCTTGCCAAACGAAAGTCCACACGGCAGACTCCCGCAAAGTCTGTGACCTCCACAGGTGTATGGATGATGCCAAGCAAGCAATAGCAGTAGGCAGTCCTCCCCCCCCCCCCCCGCAACACAAGAAAACTCTTTAACTACGAATTGCGAGGCCGGCAGAACCGATCCGCACCCTGGAGAAGCAGTTAGCCTCCGCACCGCAGAGCCCGAGGGAAGAATGAGAACCTCCAGGTCCTAGGCAGGAGCTGTGCCCACGACTATCCTTTCCCCCATGAAGACAAAACCAAGAAGAGACTCTGTCTTTATTAGCGAGCCCAGCCAGCAGCCCCCACCCCCCGACTCCCGAGCTGACCCCAGCCCAGCTGGGGAGAACAGTGATTGCGGGGGTGGGGAGGACGTCTGTGGCAGACGGAGGTACTAGTGGCTCTCTCAAAACGTGTGTACCAACTGGACTGCAGGCAGAGTCTGCACAATCTGGATAGAGGGCACACTCTGCGGGGCCAGGACCCCCGGGCCAGCCACTGCAGGGACCACTTGTACCATCTGGGAGGTGGGAGCTACGGGCACCCCCACGGGGGCCGAGACCGGGCCAGGTGCTGGCGGGGCCAGGAGCTGCAGTGTCGTGGTGGTGGCGCCTCCTGCGGCGCCGCTGCTTTCCAGAACATCGGTAGCTGGAGCGCTCCGAATGATGAGGAGTTTCTGTCCTGCTGGGCCAGTGGCAGCCGGCTCTGTCAGCCCAGGGGACAGGGTCTCCACCTCCTGCACACACAGCCTGGTCTGCTCGCCGTCGGCTCCACTCAGCACCAGCACACTCTGCAGTCCCTCCTCTGTCTGCAGCGTTTCAAACACGACATCCTGGACCACGCTGGCACTGGCCTCGCCGTCCCCCACCTCCCCAGGTCCAGGGCCGGTGAGCAGCTCGTCAGCAGTGCCACTCTGAACCACCAGCAGGTTTGGAGTGTCTGTAGCCACAGCTCCGCCACTGGAATTGGAGACTTGGCCTGTCAGGGGCTGGAGCTGGACTGTAGTCACCTCCTGTGCTGGTTGGAGCTGGACCGTGGTCACTTCCTGTGCAGGCTGGAGCTGGACCGTGGCCACTTCCTGCGCTGGCTGAAGCTGAACCCCACTCACTTCCTGTGGCCCTGTCTCCCCACTCCCCACATTCTGCAGAACAATGAGACTCTGCCCTCCCCCGCTAGCTCCTGCGTTGCCGCCTCCCTGCATCCCCAGACCACTTGGGCCTGGGAACCACACCACGCCTGCCCCCTGTCCCGCTTTCGCCACGGCCCTCGGGCCCTGCTTTGCAGCACCATTGCCCATACCCCCAGCATTGGCAGGAGGCAACAGAATGAGCTTGGGAGGTGGAGGCGGTGGAGGAGGGGTAGGGGGCTGGACACTGCTAGGGATCAGTTGGAGACCCTGGGCAGTCTGCACCAGGAGAAATGTCTGGGAGTTGGGGACCACCGGGCCCGGGGGCGTGGCCTGGGCTGTGGTCCCAGCCACTTCAAGGGAAAGTGTGGCCTGCAGGTGGGGGAGGACATGAACATCTTGGGCCGCCAGTGGAGTTGGAGCTGCGGCCAATGGGGCAGGGGGCTGTGGCGCCGCAGGGCCGGTGGTGCCCGGAGCTGCTGTGGCTGGGGTGTGCGTCCTCAGATGCCGCTGCAGATAGGCGGCCATGACAAAGCCCCGGCCACAAATGGGACAGGCAAAGGGACGCTCAGCCGAATGGGTGCGCTGGTGCAGCAGCAGGTTGGAGGAGTGCGTGAAGGTCTTGGGGCAAAGCGGGCAGCGGAAGGGTCGCTCGCCCGTGTGCACGCGCTGGTGCTGCCGCAGGTTGGACGTCTGTGCGAAGCTCTTGCCACACACGCTGCAGGCGTGGGGCCGCTCGCCGGTGTGCACGTGCCGGTGGCGCCGCAGGCACGAGGTGTTACGGAAGGCTTTGCCACACTCGTTGCAGGCGTAGGGCCGCTCGCCCGAGTGCAGTCGCAGGTGGTACTGGTAGTGGGAGGACCACTTGAAGGTGAGGCCACACTGGCCGCAGGTGAAGGCCCGCAGGCCCGTGTGCACGCGCTGGTGGATGGCCAGCAGGGAGGAGCGCTTGAAGGCTTTGCCGCACTCCCCGCACTGGTAGGGCCGCTCGCCTGTGTGGTCCCGCAAGTGGTAGCGCAGCCCGGAAGAACCCTTGAAGGCCTTGCCACACTCTGCACATTTGTAGGGCCGCTCTGCGGAAACGGGGGCGGGTGGGGGTGGAGGGGGAGCAGGGGTGGCCGGGGCTAGAGGCTCCTGGGGACAGGTGACCTCGGCGGCCTCAGCCTGAGGGGGCGGCCGTCCTGCCGCCGCCTCCTCCACGTGGCACTGCTGGTGAGCCAACAGGCTCGCCAGCTGCGGGAAGGCGCCATCACAGCTGCCACAGCGGAAGGCCTGTCCACTGGCCCCGCCGTGGCTGTGCTGGTGGCGGGACAGGCCGGCCACGGTCCGGAAGGACTTCCCGCAAGGGAGGCAAGCAAAGTTGGGGGGGCCCGCGGCGGCAGGCGAGGGCTGCGGCAGAGGGGGCTCGGCTTGGGGCAGCTCGGCCGGCGGCGTATCCTGGGGCTGGGCAGCCCCGGCGGGCCCCGGGCACGGCTGGTGCTCCAGGAGCAGCTCCTCGCTGCTGAAGCCCTGCTCGCAGCCGTCGCAGCGGTACACCAGCTCCACCGTGGTCTCGGCGGCAGCCAGGAAGAGCTCGGGCACCACGGGCGGGGGCGGCGGCGGGGGCGGCGGGGCCTGGGGTGCAGGCGGGCTGCGGGGCTGCAGGTAGGCGTCGGAGACCAGGACCTTGGTGCTGGCTCCGCTGGTCTCCCCTGCAGGGGTGGGGGCGGGGCCGGGGGCAGGGCCGTGGGTGCGATGGTGCAGCAGCAGGTTGGAGGAGTGGGTGAAGGTCTTGGGACAGAGCGGACAGCGGAAGGGTCGCTCCCCCGTGTGCACGCGCTGGTGCTGGCGCAGGTTGGTACTCTGCGTGAAGCTCTTGCCGCAAATGCCACAGGTGTAAGGGCGTTCCCCGGTGTGCACGTGCCGGTGGCGTCGCAAGCTGGACGAGTTCTTGAAAGCCTTGGGGCAGTCGGGGCACGGGTAGGGCCGCTCGCCCGTGTGCTGTCGCAGGTGGTACTGGTAGTGGGAGGACCACTTGAAAGCCAGGCCACACTGGCCGCAGGTGAAGGCCCGCAGGCCCGTGTGCACGCTGCGGTGGATCTGCAGCAGAGAGGAGCGCTTGAAGGCTTTGGGGCAGTCGGGGCACTGATAGGGCCGCTCGCCTGTGTGGCCCCGCTGGTGGTAGAGGAGAGCCGAGGATCCCTTGAAGGCTTTGGGGCAGTCCGGGCACTTGTAGGGCCGTTCTCCCGTGTGCGTGCGCTGATGGTGCAGGAGCCGAGATGACCACCGGAACGACTTGCCGCACTCCCCGCACTCATACTGGGCAGCAGGGGTGGGAGCTGGGGCAGTGGGGCCTGGCTTCTCCCCAGTTCCCTCCGTGGTGGATGCTGGCGCCATGTCCACGTGGGAGCCGGCCATCACACCTGGTGCAAGGATTCTGATCAGAGTGGGCTAGCACTGGCCTCCTCACCACTCACACGGGCTCTTCACGGAACAGGGCAGCCCCTCTATGTCACCCACCCTGTAGGGCTGCTTCCTTAGTGTTAGGGCTTCCACCAGCCTAGGGTTAACACACAGTATCACAGAAATGATGGGGTATCCAGGGTGTCAACTTCTCAGCAAACTGCAACTAGGTGGCCAGCTCCTCTGGGAAGCAGAGATCCAAGAAGGGGTGGTCTCTAGACCGAGCCCTGCCTTCAGGACCCTGGTCCCTGATGTCAGAGCCTTAGGAGGCTCCGGCTTGGCTTCCTGCTCTGGTGTGAAGACTTATCCTTAGCTTTCTCCACCTCCACACTTGTCCCCACCACCACACCTCGATCACCCCACTCCACCACCCACTGCCCCCCACTCCCTATCCCAGGGATGACTTCCTGTTCCCACAGGATCTACAACCTCCTCCCACCCCGCCATCACTGCCAAGGCTCCCTGGCACACCCACCCCGGACACAGCCGCCTGTCTCACTGGGCACACGTTCGTGTGCACACTTCTGAACACTCCCCGTGCGCCCCTCACTCGCACAGCACTTTCTCTGACCCCTCCACCCCTCGGTGGTAACCCCCTGACACGTTTCCTCCCCACTGAATCCCCCTGCTCCCCTGTTCTCAGCAGGTGACCTTGCTTCCGATCAGGCCCTGCAGTGACTGGAAAAAGAACAGCAATCAGAACAGAACACCTCATGCGCTGACCACTGGACCAGCGGTTCCCAACTGAGCCAACTGTCATCCGACTCGGGTCATCTTGTGATGCTGGAGACACTCCCTGTTGCTTGCCTGTCACGTGCGGGGACAGGGGTGCTTCTCAGCACCCTACAGTGCACAGGATGAACCCCCACAAAGACCCAGCTCAAAACAGCAGCAGCAGCACACGACTGAGAAACTGTAGGATCCCCACACACACGCTTCCCTGTGCCACGGCCTCCGACCTCCCGTGGCATCCTCGTTTGCTTCAGCTAGACCATTCCCAGCAGCGAACACAAAGACACAACACCCTTGCTCCGCTTCTCTCCAGCCCTCCACAGGTCCAGCGTCAACCTGCCCTTCCCTCTGGAACCGCCTCAGTCACCTGCAGTCCCCAGCACCCCAGCCCCGTGATGCTGAGTCCCCCCTTCAGGCATGCATCCTAACTTCCGATGGCTGTCTCCTTCCTGTCATCTCGGCCTTTGGGCCGGATCCTGCTAAACCTGGAGGCTGAGTCAGAGCCCAGTCAAGAATGGCTGGTCTTTCTGTTTGCCCCTCTCTCTGGAAGCCCTTACCCCTCCTAAGGCTCCACAATTTATAAAGAAAAGGACTCCAGAAGTATAACTCTGCTCAAGACTCTCCTTTGCGCCACATGCTTGGTGCACTGTGCCTAAGACACCTCCCACTTAACCAAATATTCAGAAGTAGGGCTGCTGAGGTGGCTCACGACGGAGCGCCTATCCAACCCACACAAAGCCGAGGTCTGACCCCAGCACGGCACACACCAGGGGTGGTAACCCAGAAGGCTGAGTCCAGCCTGGGCAGTGGTCACGCCTGTGTTACAGCAGCCTGCTGAGTGCTCATGGCCGGTGATCTCCCCACTTGGTAGCCTCCAGTCCCTCTGGCCTTTCAGGCATGCAGGGAGAGCTGGGGCTCCTGCCTGGTACCCCTTCTCTCCACCATCCACGGTCCACCCTGTCACCTGGAGACACCTCCTCAGACCACGCTACTTAAGTCCCTTCCCACTCACTGCTCTCTTCTCATACCTCGAGGTGGTGTTCCCTTCTTCGTGGGGCTGGGGCTCTCCACCTTTCCCTACACAGCCAGGGTTTTTCAACCTCAGCAGCACAGAGATTTGAGGATGGGTCACTCTTTGTCAGAGGGGCTGGCTCACACATTGTTGGGCGTTTGGCGGGGTTCCTGACCTGTCAACCCGGTGGATGCCATTGGCAGCCAAAGCAGGACCGAGTTTGACATTTCCTCAGCAGATCCTCAAGCCACTGCTCCAGGGTCCCCCCAAGCAGAGTCCCAGCCACATCTAGGCCTCTCGCTGCCTCTTTTAGCCTGTCTAATGTCTGCACCGTGTAAACAGGGGACCCCTGTGCATCCCAGCATCGACCAGCTGAGTGCATGCTCAGTGAATACAGTCTGAGCAAACAGGGACGAGGCTATGGAGGATTGCTGTTTTTAAAGGATGGGCAATGGGCTATGAAGGGTTTCTTTATTAAAGGATGGGCGTCTCTTTCACCATGCAAGGGGCTAATGAGCTTAAGAAACTGCATGTGCCTTTTGAGAGAGGTCAGGCCACATCTTTTAACACAAGATGCCCAAAGGAACTGGGGGACCCAGCTGAGCAGTGGGAGTCCCCTTTAAAAGGCTGGGCTTTGATGCTCTTGGGGTGTAGCTGGACTGTTAGTTAATGACTGGCATGCATGAAGCTCTGGATTCCCAGGACAGCAGAAAACCAGGCCTGGTAGCACTGGCCTCTAATCCCAGAACATACAGGGTAGAGGGAGGCAGGAGGATCATACATTCAAAGTCATCCATGGCTATACAGGGGCATCCTGAGCTACATGAGACTTTGGGGGGGAAAAAAAAAGGTTAAATACCTGTCTCTATCTTTGTACAGATTTTCTAGGGACCAGCACAGAAACTTTTCCTTCAATGTCTGGGAAACTGTCACCCGCCTTTAAGGAAATAACCCTCTTTCAAGAGAAAGGGGAGGAAAAAGAAAAGACATGAAGCTTTGCAAAAAAAAAAAAAAAAAAATGCCTAGCAGAACACAGCACCCTTCCCCTTTAAGAGGGAGGAGCCGGCCTCGCCGACTACAGATCGGAGGGCGCGCCAGCGCCTTTCCCTTTAAGATCCCCCTTCCGGTTTCCCGCTCGCCGTCGCCCCCGCGGCCCCGCCCTCCGGCCCTTCCCCCACCCCGCCCTCCGGTCGCTCACCTGTGGCCCCGGCCTGGGAGCGGGGGGGACCAGGGAGAACCCCAGAGCCTG